GGGTCTCGAACCCGCGGGCTCAGGCAATCCACTCACCTCAGCCTCCCAAAGGCGCGGGATGACAGGCTGAGCCACCGAGCCCAGCTTTCAAGAAAGTTTAAAGAAAAAACATCTGAAGCATATTATATACAGTAGTACTATTTAGCCCTTTGCACTTGGAGACATTTTGTGGATCACCTACCAGCAACTCAACCTTACTTTTTTACAAAATAATGAAAATAAAGTCACTTCATATTAAATAGTATAGCATAGGAACCAATTATTTTGTTGTAATGATATTTGGCTTATAATGGAATTTTGAACATTGAGGAACTTATTTATGACCAAAAATATCAAAATTTTACATCTTATATTTTTCTAACATGATACATGTTTGCAGTAGTAATTTGTTTGATGCTGTACACCTGATGTTTTTCTGTTTGAGTAGAAAATACAGTCTCATTTTCTTCCTCCCACATTAATAATATGTATTATATTATATTACTGTATATTATATTAATATGTATGTAATCACAGTATTGTCCAGTCTGTTGTTCAAAGACGGTGTGGAAGGACGCACTCATGATTCCTGAAGGCCAATTTTCAACTGATCAGTCAGAAGCTTAGCAAATTTCAAATGGGACATAAGTTTTTCTTTGTTTTTGAATAGGAAACTTGAAGGAAACATGCACTTTTGAAAAATTTGTACTTGTCTAAGTTGTCCTGTATAATCACCAGCAATCTCTTTATGTCCCCTGAGAGAGGGCACTCAAATCCCCTGGATTTGTGATGTCTCCACCTAGGGGGCATCCTAGTTCAAAGGTTTAAGTTTCCTAAAACTAAAAAGTTCTGCTTCAATCTGCCTGGGGAAAGGGGGGCATACCTCATCAACAAGGGTACCTGCATAATGAACATTTGTATACCTAACCCTGAATTATACCCCACATATTCAAAATAAAAAAATTAAAAGTAAAAAAAAAAAAGTTTTGGTCCACTAGAGGGAGCTGACAATAAAGATATGGAAATGCTAGATTTTTGCAGTATGTGGCACAGTAGTTTATGGATCAATATAAGTTACAGTGTGTTTTTCAATTTATTTATAAGCTGGTTATCCCAACCAAGCCAATAAATGCATATGCTTTAAAAGATAGATGTATGAAAGCATCAAAACAGGAATACTGAAGAATTTTTATTCCAATTCTTAGCAAATTAAATTATAAAGATAATAGATTTTATTGCTTAAAAATATTCAAGCATAATAAATGTTATATTGAAGTACAATTAATCTGTAAAAAATAATGGAAAATGAAGATACATATCTTTTTCTTGACATCCACATAATTCATAACTGTCTTTATTAATGTGAGAATTGCTTTTATGAAAAAGTTCTTATTCCTGAACTTTAAAAGATAGAGATTCTCTAGTATAATCAGGTCTACCATTGTCCACTTTTTAAAATTACATCTAATTCATCCATTTCGATTATGCCAATACCTTCATCTGAAATAATGAGATAGAGCTTTTGTTTTTAGTGGAAACTATGAATAGTTTGGTAATCAACTTCTAACACATATTCCCCCCACTTTTTTTTTAAGGGCTTGGGAAATTTTTCTGCAAACTGTTCTAAGAGCTGTACAGCCAAAAATGGTGGCTTTCTTCTGTAAGTATACAATTGATATGCTAAATTGAACAAGAAAATATGCTCTTTGCTGTTTTACTTAGGCTTCTCTTTTTTCCACACACATAGCAGTACCAATATGAAGTGGGTTCAGTTTTCAAACCTGCATATTGATGTTCCTAAGGATTTGACCAAACCTATGGTATGTACTTCCTCTTTTTGATACAAGGAGCTGTGTTAGCATTAGGTTTTTCTTATTATTTTATTTAGGGTTGTTTCCCAAACACCTTATGAATTAAAAAAAAAATTAGTACTGGTATACTGGCAAATGCACAGTGTACATATTCTCTGATGTCCCTGGGTGATCATGTTATCTTTCAGGGTATCAAAGTGAGTTCAAAAGGAATAAGTTATTTACTCCCAAATAACTGTGCTAATTAGCAGTCTTGCTTTTAGCTTGGCAAAGTTGAAGAGCTGTCATAATTAATGATGCAGAATACTTGATGTTATGTTATTGAAAAATATTTCTCTTGTCTCCTTTGTAGCCTTTAAGTCTTTGTTTTCATTTTACTTATTGAGCCTGGGCTTGGGCAGTGCTTTATTGTGCACAGTGACAAAGCGTGTTAGCACAAATACGGAAATACAGAAGTAGCTGTGTAACCTTGTAGGCGTCATACATGATGCTATCAGTGCATTTTTTTGTTGTTGTCGTTATTTGCTTTTTTTTTTTTTTTTTTCCTTGAGTCAGGGTTTCGCTCTGTTGCCCAGGCAGGAGTACAGTGGTATGGTCACGGCTCACTGTAGCCTCACCCTCCTGGGCTCTGGTGATCCTTCTCACTCAGCCTCCTAAGTAGCTGGGACTACAAGTACACACTACCATGCCTGGCTAATTTTAAAAAAATTTTTTGTAAAGACAAGATCTTGCTATGTTGCCCAGACTGGTCTTGAACTCTTGGGCTCAGGCGGTCCTCACTCCTCGGCCTCCTAAAGTGCTGGAATTGCGGGTGTGAGCCACCTACCTGGTCTTTATTCTTTTTATCTTTTTGTAGCAACGAGGTCTTGCTGTGTTGCTTAGGCTGGTCTCAAACTCCTTGCCTCAAGTGATCCTCCTGTCTCAGCCTTCCAAAAGTTCTGGTATTACAGGAGTGAGCCACCATGCCCGGTTGTTATTTGCAGTTTTTAAAGATTCTTACAAATTCCAAATCCTTCCATTTCTAAGCCTCAAAAATAACCCCCTTTAACAGTTTGATATGAATCCTTCTAGACTTTTATCTATACGTACACATTTTATCTGTGCACGTGCACACCAAAATGGAATTGTGTTATGTACGGTATACTACTGTTTCTTTATTTCTCTCTCTTTCTTTCTCCTCTTTCTCTTTCTTTTCACTTAATAGATATGTATATATTTCTGTGACCGTACATATGAGACCTGATCCCCAACTCAGATGCCTGCAGGGGCAGGGTTATAAGAAAAGGTGGTAGGATGGTCACTGTGACCTTTATAAGCAAAACAGCTTATTCTAGCCACTTGGGAAATCAGTCCTAGTGAGGCCAGATTGTTTAAATCTTCCAAGCTCAACTGAAATCCAAATTTTTATGTGAACGCTCCTGATTTTTAGTATTCGTAACAAATTCAGAGTATCTTTAAGACCCTAGTAGGATCAGTTAACACATCTTTTTTTTTTTTTTTTTTTTTTTGAGTTGGAGTCTCACTGTTGTCGCCCAGGGTGGAGTGCAGTGGCATTCTCACAGCCACCACAGCCTCGACCTGCTGGGCTTAGGCGATCCTTCCTCCTCAATCTTCCCAGTTAGCGCATCTTAGGCCTATATTCCCTTCCCTTGCCCCTCTGATTATGACATAGGATATCAGTATATTCTGTTCTTCCAACAACTCTGTTTGGAGTAATTGAGAGTGGGTGTCTGGCTTCCTGGCTAGTAAGGAGATCGCCTTTCAGAGGTTAAGTAATTTAACCCTGAATCATTGGATTAGTAATATAATCTACTGGTATAATGGATGAATGAAATGAGGGTAATTTACCTCTTGGAAAAAAGTCAAAAGTGTCAAACCCATTATTTTTAAGGTCTTTAGGCATTAGGGCAGAAGATGTAGAAGTTATAGGTACAGTCAGTGTATAACATTTTAATTAGAAATCAGTAATCTGTATATTAGAGCAAACAAAGCATACATGAATAAAACCTAATAAGAAGGAATATAACTAGAAGCTAGCTTGCCTTTGTATAACAGTGTTTTGCAATTAATAAGCACTTAGTCTGTGTTTTCTTCTTTTTTTTTTCTTTTTTTGAGTTGGAGTCTCACTCTCGCCTAGACTGAAGTGCAGTGGCCGCTTCCGGCCACCGCAGCCTCGACCTGCTAGGCTCCGGCGATCCTTCCGCCTCAGCCTTCCAAGTAGCTGGAATTACAGGCATGCGCTACCACGCCCAGCTGATTTTTTGATTTATTGTAGAGAGGAGGTCTCGCTGCCCAGGTGGGTCTCGAACCGGCGGGCTCAGGCAATCCACTCACCTCAGCCTCCCAAAGGCACGGGATTACAGGCTGAGCCACCGAGCCCAGCGCGTTTTCTTCTTTTTGTCATAGAGAAATACCACGAACTGTAGCATAGGTATTACTTGTTTTATATTATAAAGTATAATGAGATTATATGACTTATCCATTGTCCCTCAGCTACAACTAGAGAGTTGAATTTTCGGACTAGGTGATCTGACCAGGCTGCTTTTGTTAGCCGACCCTGAAGTCCTTTCTCATTAAGTTGGAAAGTTGCATTAGTGATTTTTTAAGGTTACTTTGAAACTCCTTTTGATTCACACTGTATTTTAACAGATTCTGAGTCTCGTTATGCAGATCTGAACATGATAGTACCTAGATACTTAAGCTAACAGTGGTAAGATGCTACTTAGCATTTTTTTCCCCGTTTATTAGTAAACTCTGAAGTTGTTTAATCAAGGGCAATATGTTAAATTTGCTGGTTATAAATATTCAAGGAACTACACCTGAAACTTTTCTTTTGGATTTTAGATAACCGTTTCTGATGAACCAGACACATTATATAAGCGCCTGTCAATTTTAGTAAAAGGCCATGATAAGGCTGTATTGGACAGTTATGAATATTTTGCCATGCTTGCTGCTAAAGAACTTGGTATCTCTATTAAAGTGTAAGTATGACTTTTCCTAATCTGACCTATTAGCTGCTGTGATAGGATCACCCAGGAAAATGGTACTCACGATGGTTAGAGTTGAAGTTTGTCATATATTATCCTAACAGGATCATCCATTCCTGTCTACTAGAATTTTTAAATACTAGAATGAATGAACAATAAAATGAAAGAAATCCTTTCTCTGGAAATTGCATTGACATAAGGAAACCCACCGGGCTCGGTGGCTCAGCCTGTAATCCCGTGCCTTTGGGAGGCTGAGGTGAGTGGATTGCCTGAGCCCACGGGTTTGAGACCCGCCTGGACAACTTGGCGAGACCTCATCTCTACAATAAATCAAAAAATCAGCCGGGCGTGGTAGCGCATGCCTGTAATTCCGGCTACTTGAAAGGCTGAAGCCAAAGGATCACCGGAGCCCAGCAGGTCGAGGCTGCAGTGGCCAGGAGCGGCCACGGCACTCCAGTCTGGGCGACCGACTGAGACTCCAACTCAAAAAAAAAAGAGAGAGACATAAGGAAACCCAAGAAGCCCATGTGTCTGGGATCTTAACAGGGCCAGGAGGTAGAGTAGGTGAATAGACAGCCCTTTGAATATGATGATCTTTGACTGATATATTCATTGTTTTAAATCTTCCCTAAGAAACACCACTCACCCTGTCATTTCATGCATGAGCAAGGTAAGCTTTATCTGGCCCTGGAGTCACTGCTGGGTCAGGTAGAGCCACCTCCTGGGTCTTGTCATCTGCTCCTTCTGAAGTTGGAGAAGGTCCATCTGGAGCTTTGCTAGTCTTACCTTCTAATAAAAACAGAAGGCCATACTGTTTCCCTAAAGAGACTATAGTTTTGTGATCATCAGCATATCTGTAGATTTTCCTAAAACAGCACAGATACAGCAGACATTACAACTGTATCCATCACACTGGGCTACTCTTCACACTTCATATATTTGGTTAGTAAGGACTTGAGGGTGTAAAAACAGCAGGGGTGTGTGTGTGTGTGTGCTTGTGCACATGTGTGCCAGGACTCATTTTTGAGCCTGAGGGAAAAGGTTCCTATTACTGTCTGTGGTGTTGATTTTGTCCTGAGCATTATGATAGCAGTTGTTGTTACAGATGACAGTCTTGGCAAGTGGAGGTCTGTAAACGGTAGTTAATGCCTGTAATTGAGTGTGCACCTAACCTACAAAACTGTGGAATCATGCTTTGATATCAGTGACTCAGGTTTTGTTTTGCCCATTAATTTCAGACATGAACCTCCAAGGAAAATAGAGCGATTTACTCTTCTCAAGTCAGTGCATATTTTCAAGAAGCACAGAGTTCAGTATGAAATGAGAACACTGTATAGATGTTTAGAGGTGAGTTTATTTCAGACATTCAGGCATTTTTAAGATACCAAGATTTCACACTAGCATATAACTTTCTTTAACATTGACTAGGTTGACTTCCTTTCATTCAGCGCATGTCTGTTGGTTGTAGAGAAGTAAAATGTCTCGTGTTGATGAAAGAGACATGATAGGAAAATCAAGCTCAAATAAAGCTATCCTTTAGAGTAGTACATACCCTAATTTAGGATTGCAGATTACGCTGACTGATTTCTTTTGTTTTGAATTTTTAGAGACAGGGTTTTCTTCTGTCACCCAGGCTGGAATGCAGTGGCACAATCATTGCAGCCTTAAACTCTTGGGCACAAGCATTCCTTCTGCCTCAGCCTCCTGAATAGCTGGGGCTATAGGCATACATGACCACACCTAGCTAAGTTTTTTTTTTTTTTTGTAGAGACAAAGTCTTGCTATGTTGTCTAGGCTGGTCTCCAACTCCTCGCCATAGGTGATCCACCTGCCTCAGGATCCCAAGGTGCGAGATTTCAGGTGTGAACCACTGTGCTCAGCCTTATTTTTATATAATAAGATAGCATTAAAATAAGGGTGCTCATATTTCATAAATTCTCTTTATGTTTTATACAATTCTATAACTGTTTTCACACACTAACTGGAATTTCCATGTCACTGATACACAGCATTAGGTTTTTCATATATCTGTTATCATTCATTTGTGCATCCACTGGGGCCAACATAATCCTGTGGTTAAGGAAAGCCTGGGTTTTGGAATCAGACTGACATTGCCAAAGTCCAAGTCCTGGCACTGACTAGCTGTGTGACCTGAACCTCAGTTTCTTCATCTATTATAATGATATTCATCTCATAAGGTTAGTGTGAGGTTTAAATAAGATATTTACATAAAGCATTCAGAATACTTTCATTGCACAGTGACAGGTGGCTCACACCTGTAATACTAGCACTTTGGAAGGCCGAGGTGGGAGAATCATTTGAGCCCAGGAGTTGAAGACCAGCCTGGACAACATATTGAGTCTCTATTTAAAAAATGGTAAACAACAACAAAAAAGCACTCATGCATCTTTTATATGATAAGCCCTTGGTAGATCACAATCTCTGTAGGGGCTCCAGAATGTCATGTCAGACCCACTGGGGATGTGGGTGTCTGGTGTGCGATCCAGTGCCTCAAGAAAGATTCAAAGCATTGCACAGAAATTAGAATAGAAACTATAGTTTATTTAAAAACTAAATTAGAGAGAGGGAAAGAGGAAATTCACCTACCCAAGGTAGGGGAGGGGGCCAAAGCTAGGAAACATAGCCTGGTCACAGCTCAAAGAGCACATGGCCAAGACAATGACTTCGGCTGCTCATGGTTGAGTCCTTTTAACCCTTCCCTCTGATAGGGGAAGGTCATTAAGGTGATTGGTTGGTGGTCTGCTCCACATCATCATGAAGGGGCAGGTAAGCATAGGTCCTAATGTCAGGTGATGGACAGCAAGAAGATGGGTGGGTTAGTCACATGATTGCTGCCATGGTGGGTAAGATGGAGGGGACAAAGGGAGGGGTTTTTCCTGCAAGAGACCTGTCAGATGTTTCCAGTCCACAAAAAGTTGGTCTTATTATTTCTGTGACTTCAGCTGGCTAAGAGGTGATATTTGACCTTCCGCCTTTGACAAAGAACCTGAAAGTTTCTTAGAGGTTACTATGCTAAACCATGAGGGGGATGGGATAGGCTGCCAGCTTGACCTGCAGTAAAATGTCTGAACACTTTCTAAAACCTTGGAAATTTATCTATCTCTGCCTAACCTGTGCTAGATTCAAAGCATGTCAGCCTAAGCAAAAATGGCTATGCTGAGGCAAAATGTAAACTAAGTTTATTCTAAGTTTCTCGGGGTCCCTCCTTTCATTCCTATACTAGTCACTGAGAGTGCAGATGTAATTAAGTCATAGCCCCTACTCTTTTTTTTTTTTTGAGTTGTAGTCTCACTCCTTTGCCCAGGCTGTAGTGCTATGGCACACATGCTCACGGCCACTCCAGCATCGACTTTCTGGGCTCCAGCTATCCTTCCGCCTTAGCCTTCTGAGTAGCCAGAACTACATACGTGTGCTACCATGCCCAGCTATGTTTATTTTATCATAGAGACGAGGTCTCACCAAGTTGCCCAGATTGGTCTTGAACCTGCGGGCTCAGGCAATCCCAAAGTGCTGGGATTATAGGCTGAGCCACCAAGCCCAGCCAGCCCCTACTCTTAAATGTAAAAGAAACACTCAAAACTTTGTCCACTCATGTCTGACAGAAATATCTCCCCATAGAACACACAGATCATCCTATACTAATTATACTTTATAATTAGTCCTTTTGTCTTGGGCTCTTTTTTGAAAGCTGTGTAAGTATACTGCTCTGATCCCCTGCTTGCTAACTGTCCAGGGAGCCCTGACTTCAAGGCAGCTGCATCTGGGAGAAAAGGGCTTCAGGACCTGCTTTCCCCATCCAGTTCAAACAGAAGATCTGTACTTTTTTTTTTTTTAATTGGGATTCTACCTAATATCTTTTAGGACAAGAACAGGCTCCCCTATTTTTACATTAAAAAAAAAAAAGCTAGCCGGGCTCGGTGGCTCAGCCTGTAATCCCATGCTTTGGGAGGCTGAGGTGAGTGAATTGCCTGAGCCTGCGGATTCAAGACCCACCTGGGCAACTTGGGCGAGACCTCATCTCTACAATAAATAAAAAAAAATTAGCCGGGCGTACTTGGAAGTCTGAAGTGAAAGGATCGCTGGAGCCCAGCCGATTGAGGCTGTGGTGACCAGGAGCAGCCACTGCACTCCAGTCTGGGTGACAGAGTGAGACTCCAACTCAGAAAATAAATAAATAAATAAATAAATAAATAAAGCTAAAACATTTTCTGCTTTAACAGCATAGCATGAACCATTTTCATGTCTGATATTTTAGCTAGAACATCTAACTGGGAGTACAGCAGATGTTTACTTGGAATACATCCAGCGAAACTTACCTGAAGGGGTTGCCATGGAAGTAACAAAGGTATGTTTTCAATTTTTACCTCTTTTGGGGGATATCTGCATTGTTTTGATACACTGCAGCCTGGTTCTGACCCACTGAGTGGAGGAGAGGACCTGTGGCAAACTAGGAGGCAGGCTGCTGTAGGGGTTGGGCGCTCCCCTCGACGCCTGCTTCAGAATCCTACCATTGCAGCCCACATGCTCTTTGGGCCACCTCTGAAGTCCCCCTCTCTAATAATTGTCTACACTTGGAGACTATATTATGTGGCAGTCCCTAGAGATCATTGAAGACCAAATAGATTATATGAGTGAGAGTGTTTAACCATCAAGTTTTCTTCTCCATTTCAAAGCCCTGCAAAAAGGCAAGGAGATCAAAGAAAAGTCAAGAGGATTTGGCAAATTAAAAGTCCAGTTTGTAGCCAGAGGTCACTGAAGTTCACATCATATTACAGTTTTGTTTTGTTTCTGTTTTTAGACACGATTGGAACAGTTACCAGAATACATCAAGGAGCCAATCTGGGAAACAGTTTCAAATGAGGAAAAACAAGAAAGCAAGTCATGACACTTCGGGGAAACCACTTGTGCCTGAATTTTAAATGAGGGTGGGAGGGATGTGTGTGTGTTAGTGGAAGGAAAGTGCTTCCAACTGAGATGATGGGAGTCCCCCTGCCTGTTGTGAAGTCCTCATGCCCTAATCAGCTGAGAACAGGCAGTGGAACTTGAATGACAGGCTAGACTGTGGGGAAAGCATCATCTCTCTGTCCTTTAATATGTGGCGTTGTTTTCTGATTTTAACAAACACAAGCAAACCATTTTGACTTCTATGAACCAAAAGAGCCAAATGTATATTTTGTTATGCTGCTGTTGTTCAGTTATTAGTTTATACCGGTTTTAATATATATCATCAGTCCCTTCATCTGAAAATAAGTGTTTGAAGTATTCCTCACAAACATTTTTTTTCTTTCGAGTTTTCTAGAAGAACCCTTTGGCTAATTCAACATTGAGCAGCTAACGTTTTTGATACTTACCTTGGTGTAGGCTGGCATGTGCTAATTTAGGGGTGATAACCAACAAATTTTTCCTCATTTAAACATTACATTTTGGAAAGTGAATATACTTTGCTGCAGATCAAGCACATATGTGACATTCGTTGAACTCTCTTCTGGTAGCCCAAACCCTCACAGAGCTGGCCAGGTCACTGTAATGGGATTTATGCTCTAAGAAACTCCTACTGTATTATCTTATTCTGTGATCCATCTATTCAGTAAGCTTTTATTCCATAAGTTTTGCACCCAGCGCTGTAGTCAGTACCAGCAATTGAATAGAAATAATGGCTTTGGAAGATTGTACAAAGCACAGAAAAATATTTTTCTTTATTAAGTTCCTCACTGATAAGAAGTCCTCTTTTGTAAATGTCACTCTCCGTGTGTGGAGATGTCTACTTCTCCATGAAATCAAATAGCAGTTAAAGCCCTGAAGCCTCTGGTAGAGCAGCCCCAGGGGAATGCCTCAGTTTCTTTTCACTGCAGAGTCAGTCTTTGAGGCCTCCTTCACATCTCTGGAGTTGTTATGGCTTCTGGGTATTTCCCCTTACACTGGATTGCCTGCTCTCTTTTCCCGGTCTGCTATCAGGTATCAGCCTGTTGAATACATACTACTTATGTATCAGACTTACATTACTGTCATTACCATGAAAAGAATTGCAGCCTTGTGCCCATGGCCTCCTTCAGCTCAGTTGATTCATTCACCAAAGCCCACAGCATTAGACACCAGATAGAAACCTCAGGATTAAGAACCGGCCAGTAAAACAAGCCGTGTAATGGTCTTTGTCTAACAAAACAGCAATTGTGACACATTTTTATCATAAAAGGAACAATTATTTAAAAATAAATAGCCGGGCTTGGTGGCTTAGCCTGTAATCCCGCGCTTTGGGAGGCTGACGTGAGTGGATTGCCTGAGCCCGCGGGTTCGAGACCCGCCTGGGCAGGCGAGACCTCATCTCTACAATAAATCAAAAAATCAGCCGGGCGTGGTAGTGCACGCCTGTAATTCTGGCTACTCGGAAGGCGGAGGCGGAAGGATCGCCCGCGCCCAGCAGGTCGAGGCTGCACGGCACTCCAGTCTGGGCGACAGAGTGAGACTCCAACTCAAAAAATAAAATAAAAAATAAAATAAATAGAGGCCCACACCTATGGTTTTTGGACTTTTCTATAAATAGTATAAGTCACTGTATTATAAGAGGGAGATGTATGTACGCTCCCCTCCAGTGACTCCATGTAAGTTCCTTCAGAGGTGTGTGCGTTCACTTCCAGATGTTTTCAGACTAAACCTGTAAGCCACGTTACTCAGCTTAGCACTTCAAATTATATATTTAAATTTTGTTTTAAGATAAATATACAAATGAACTACACGTGCAGGCCTGCACACAACAAAAACTAGCAGTTTTTCCTTGACAAAAGTATTTGGCATGTTTGAAGCCTACTTCTTGATATAAACAAGGTAATTTCTTATCCTGATAGGCTGAGTGTTTTAGTGTTTGTTTGTTTTGAATTAGGTGTGAGTAAAATGCATATCCTGAAGATTAGAATTTCTCTCCATGGCAGGGATGGGAGGTGGTGAGAGAAAAGTGGATCAGATGGTAGAATGAACCAGAAGGCAGGTAGGAAGTGACATGGTTTTTTATTGAATATAGCCCTCAGTTTATTGTTGCTTTCTCTGATGTGAAGCACATTTTTTTCCTATTAAATAAAGTCATGTTGTGGTATGTTTAAAATTATTAGTATAACTGTCCATGTCTCTGGTAAGATTAAACTAGTTAAGTGCTTTAAAAGAGAATGACTTGTAAGTTCCTGTCCCCATTTAAACATGCTACAGTAGGTACATAAAACAGATATTTTAAATCATTTGTGTAGTTTCTTAACATTTCTAGTTGTCTGCAACCATTCCTTCTCTACATTATAGAATTGAATTAGTTTTGCTACAACATTAATGAGTAACAGTAGAGAAAGCATGGACTTTGGAGTCAGGCTTGAGTCAGATAAGAATTCAAGCTCACTGCCATACACTTGCATAAGAGCCTCTATTTACTCAGTAAAATGTAGAAAATTATACATACTTAACATATAACATGCCTTTATTATTATGTTTAATACTGCAACTTGCAAAGGTTGGGAGTACTAAATTAGGTAACTGATAAAGCACCTCACACAGTATTGGGCAGATAATAAACATTCAGTAAATGGCAGTACCAATTTGATGATACCTGAGGAGCTAGTGTGCTATACTGTTTAAGAACTAGCTGGAGCCAGACGTGGTGGCTTATGCCTATAATCCCAGCACTTTGAGTGGTAGCAGCAAGATGACTGCCTGAGCCTAGAGGTTTAAGACCAGCCTGGACAACTTGGTGAGACCTCATCTCTATAAGTAAAAAAAAAATTAGCCAGGCATGGTGGTACACATCTGTAGTTCCAGCTACTTGGAAGACTGAAGCAGAAGGATCCCCTGAGCCCAGCAGAGCAAGGCTGCAGTAGCCATGAGCGTGTGACTACACTCCAGCCTGGGGGACAAAGTGAGACTCTGACTCAGAGGGAAAAAAAACAAATAAACAGAAAAAGGCCTTAGATTGTCTTCAAGGTGAGGGTGATACTTACCTTAGAGTATGGCTGTGATACCTAATTTAGTTGGGAGACCATGAACTTGCTTATTGCAATAGACACCGTACATTATGCCAAACTTTTCACATAAATATCACTTACAAATACTGATTTTTCATTTTTTTTTGAGTTGGAGTCTCACTCTGTCACCCAGATTGGAGTGCAGTGGCCGCTCCCGGCCGCCTCAGCCTTCCAAGTAGCTGGAACTACAGGCGCGCGCTACCACGCCCAGCTAATTTTTGTTTTTTTATTGTAGAGATGAGGTCTCGCCTGCCCAGGCAGGTCTCGAACCCGCGGGCTTAGGCAATCCATTCATCTCAGCCTCCCAAAGTGCTGGGATTACAGGCTGAGCCACTGAGCCTGGCTCAGAACCTTACTTTCAAAGGGGCTGTAAGGTACTCAAAGGTCCACGTATTAAATGCAGGGTAAATTTCATGTTTGCTTTCCCTTTTCCATTGCCAAGATGAACTCATTTCCTGTAAAGCTTTGAAGTAAAGGGATTAACTAGGCACAAGCTCTCACGCCTATAGTCCTAGCACTTAGGGAGGTTGAGGTGGAAGGGTTGCTTGATCCCAGGAGTTCCGGGTTGCTGTGAGCTATAATTAGCCACTGCATTCCAGCCTGGGTGACAGAGTGAGAACCTCAAAAAAAAAAGATTGACTGGGGGGAAAAAAACCTAAGGAATAAAGGATGTAAATAAAGGCAAGAAGCAGAATACACAGTGCAGTCCTGGTGGTACCACTGCTGACACTGGTCCCGAGCACCTGCGGGGACCTCACAAGAAGTTAACCTTTAGCAAGGTGGTCCCCTGGGTCACAAGAACACTGGCGTGGAGACAGTTTGCAGTGGCATTTCAGGACGGGCCTGTCCAGGGCTCTATGTTGCTTGTTGCTCTTAAGCATGGTGCTTCTGGAGCCAGGCTCACTGTGGACTGCCTGCAGGCCCGCAGGCTCTCTCCAAATCCCCTGCTCAGTCCCTAACCCTCCCTCCTTAAATCCTTACTATTGTTGCTCACTTCCAGCTATCTTTCTCTCTATGGATTCTTAATCCTCTTTAAAATGATATATTTATACCTCAGTAGCTCAGCAATATTTATTTTTAGGGCAGATCTTGTACAGCTGACCCACATAAAAAGCTAATTGAATTTTAGATTCCTCAGCCAGAGGCTAAATCAAGTCATACTTTACTCATAGAATTTCTTCACTTTTTTTTTTTTTTTTTTAAATAGAGACAATGTCTCGCTATGTTGCCCAGGCTGATAAACTCCTGGGCTGGAGCCTCCCAAAGTGCTATGATTGCAGATGAGAGCCACTGCGTCCAGCCTAGAATTTCTCAACTTGAGCACAGGTACTATCCTTGAATCACTCCTCAGTGTTGCTTAAATATCAATAAATGTGGAGAGATGGACAGGAATGACACTGTCAGTCAAGACGCTGCTGTTACAGAGCCATAGCTGCTGATTGGCACATGTTATCTTCAGGTATGTTGAGTTAGGGAGAAGGTCGAAAATCAGTAGGCTAGATCAGGGTCCCCAAACCCTGGGCCACAGACTGGTACCAGTCTGTGACCTGTTAGGAACTGGGCCGCACAGCAGGTGTACAAAGCTTCATCTGTATTTACAGTCACTCTCCTGCACTTGCATTACCACCTGAGCTCTGCCTCCTGTCAGATCAGCAGCGGCATTAGATTCTCATAGGAATGTGACCCTTATTGTGAATGGCCCGTGTGAGGGATCTAGGTTGCATATTCCCTATGAGAATATAATGCTTGATGATCTGAGGTGGAGCCAAAGCAGTGATGCTAGCATTGGGGAGCAGCTGCATATACAAATTAACATGAGTAATGAGGTTTGACTGCACAGAGACCATAATAAGCCAGTTCCTTGCAGACTCATATCAAAACCCTATCAGTGAGTGGCAAGTGAGTTGTTATACTTCAGTTGTAGAGCTGCATCTGGTGGCAGGCTTTAAGTCAGAGTCTGACACTTATTTCAGTCTTTGCATGGCCCACCCATTTTATTTACCACATCCACCCCTGCCTCCTTTTTGTAATGGTGAGTTGTATAATTATTTCATTGTGTATTACAATGTAGTAACAGAAATAAAGTGCACAATAAATGTTATGCAATCCTGAAACCATCCCCCTCACCCCACCGGTCCATGGAAAAATTGTCTTCCATGAAACCGGTCCCTGATGCCAAAAGGTTGGGACTGCTGAGGTAGATGATCATCACAGCGTCTTCCAATTCTTTTTTTTTTTTTTTTTTGAGTTAGAGTCTCACTCAGTCGCCCAGACTGGAGTGCAGTGGCCGCTCCCGGCCACCGCAGCCTCGACCTGCTGTGCTCCAGCGATCCTTCCGCCTCAACCTTCCAAGTAGCCAGAACTACAGGCGCGTGCTACCACGCCCAGCTAATTTTTTGATTTATTGTAGAGATGCGGTCTCGCCAAGTTGCCCGGGCGGGTCTCAAACCCGCGGGCCCAGGCAATCCACTCACCTCAGCCTCCCAAGGTGTGGGATTACAGACTGAGCCACTGAGCCCAGCTACCTCTTCCAGTTCTTAAATCCCATTATCTTTTTACCTCAGCAAATATCTGCCAACCTGAGCAATCTCAACAGTGTCAAAGAGGAGTTGTCTTGCCAGATGAAGGCATAGTATCTCACATTAACTCAGTACTGACTGTGTGCCAGGCACCTTGCTCAGTTACTCAACACGTACTTAGGTTTCTCGGATGTACTAAGCACTGTTCTAAACACTGTGAATTCTGTAGTGTATAGGGCGAAGGCCCACTCCTCAAAGATCATAGACTCTACTGAGAAAGACAGATGATAGAGAAAAAAAGCAAGATAGTTTCAGGCGCCGTTAAGGACACCTGCACACTTAATTCATTGCAGCACTGTTCACCATGCATGGAACCAACCCAGATGCCCATCGAAAGTGAACTGGATAAAGAAAATGTGGTACATATACATGATAGACTATTATGCAGTCATAAAGAACAAAATGATGGCCAGCAACATGGATGCAACCGAAAACCGTCATACTAAGTGAACTATCACAGAAACTGAAAA